TTAACCCCTTAGGTTCCACAGTGGGTATAACAAACATGCTTTACTGCATATACAGACTGATTTTACTGTTGTGGGTTTAGTAACACTTTATAGGGCTCATGCACAATAGACATTTTAAAAATGAGCTGTACAAAGTTATGTTTAGCAACTAGCTGTTTAGCCACGTTTTTCCGCATTAGTGTTTTTTTTTTTTGTTTTTTACACAAAAAAAAAAATTTGCCAAAAAAAAAAAAAACTTTCAAAAACGCCAGTTTGCTGTGTATTGCCATGTTTTACCGCATTTACCAGTGTTAGTGTTTTTACAGATAAAAAAATCCTCTTGAAACCAACTAGTCCTGGGGTTTTTTTCCAGCCAGAAAACTCTCCTGCCAAAAAAACTCTGATTAAAGCCTATGTGTGCATGGACACATAGGATAACATGCTGCGGAGTTTACTGACTGTAGAATAAACCGCCAGAAGCCAAAAACAGCAGCTGTAAAAACGTCCAGTGTGTATGAGGACTAAATCACTTGATTATATAATTTCCCAGTTTTTACCCATAGGTAGAAAAGATGGAGAACCCATTCTTTAGTGACATCATGATATAAACATACATGCTTGTACCACTCTGGCATGCAGATCTATGTACTGTGTAGGCACCCCTGGTAACATCCTCATCTTGGAATAAAAGCAATCCATTAGGAATCATGCACACGGACATAAAAATGTTTTCCTGTGGTTGAGGAGTGCAGTCAGGGCATATAGCTGGCCGTAGAAGTGAATGGCTGTACATCCCTATACTTGTGTAAAAGTTGATGCTTCTATGAGTTCAGTAAAATACGTTGTACAGCTTATGTGGTAAGAGCTGATGCAGAGAAGCATTGGTGTTTCCACAAGTACAGGGGTGTATAGCCATTCACTTCTATGGCAGGTTAAATGCCCCACCTGTGGCTCCCTGGCTGCGGGAAAACAACGTGGTTTATACCCTAGGCCAGTGGTGGGCAACCTTTTTTTTCAAATCTCTCCAAAACCACGATTGAAATTTATTTTGAGAGCCACATTTTTAAAACTGAAAATACATCCCCCATATAGTAATTCATCCCCCATAGTAATTCATCCCACATATAGTAATTCATCCCCCTATAGTAATTCATCCCCCATAGTAATTCATCCCCCATATAGTAATTCATCCCCCATAGTAATTCATCCCCCATATAGTAATTCATCCCCCATATAGTAATTCATCCCCCATAGTAATTCATCCCCCATAGTAATACAATCCCCCATATAGTAATTCATCCCCCATAGTAATTAATCCCCCATATAGTAATTCATCCCCCATAGTAATTCATCCCCCATATAGTAATTCATCCCCCATAGTAATTCATCCCCCATATAGTAATTCATCCCCCATAGTAATTCATCCCCCATATAGTAATTCATCCCCCATAGTAATTCATCGCCCATATAGTAATTCATCCCCCATATAGTAATTCATCCCCCATAGTAATTCATCCCCCATATAGTAATTCATCCCCCCATATAGTAATTCATCCCCCATATAGTAATTCATCCCCCATAGTAATTCATCCCCCATATAGTAATTCATCCCCCTATAGTAATTCATCCCCCATAGTAATTCATCCCCCCTATAGTAATTCATCCCCCATAGTAATTCATCCCCCCTATAGTAATTCATCCCCCCTATAGTAATTCATTCCCCATATTGTGTCAATTCACTTACCTTTGCTCCGCGCGTTCCTCTTGCCGTGTTCCCGCGCCGTTCCGGTCTTCAGGGCGGACTGTGAGAGGAGAGGAGTTCGTCACGCTGCCCCGCCTACATCCTGACAGCCAATGTTTGCCACGCTCTGCGGGCCGGATTAAAAGGTCCGCCGGGCCGTATACGGCCCGCGGGCCGTAGTTTGCCCATTGCTGGGCTATCTGCAGAGTCCTGACTTTTGGGGGCGGCCGCCCCGCAAAGAGGGAGCGGAGCGGGCGCCTGGCACACAGAAGAGCCGCATTAAAGTGTGTAAAGAGCCGCATGTGGCTCGCGAGCCGCGGCTTGCCGACCACTGCCCTAGGCGTATTTTATACCTAATTATAGCCGTATGCATGTAGCCTTTTTTTGGTGGACTGGCTGCCCATTGGTGTATGTGGAGGTCATATGATCGTTTTCCAATCCTACTGTTAAATGCCCCACCTGTGGCTCCCTGGCTGCGGGAAAACAACGTGGTTTATACCCTAGGCGTATTTTATACCTAATTATAGCCGTATGCATGTAGCCTTTTTTTGGGTGTACTGGTGCCCATTGGTGTATGTGGAGGTCATATGATCGTTTTCCAATCATACTGTTAAATGCCCCACCTGTGGCTCCCTAGCTGCGGGAAAACAACGTGGTTTATACCCTAGGCGTATTTTTAACCTAATTATAGCCGTATGCATGTAGCCTTTTTTTGGGTGTACTGGTTGCCCATTGGTGTATGTGGAGGTCATATGATCGTTTTCCAATCCTACTGTTAAATGCCCCACCTGTGGCTCCCTGGCTGCGGGAAAACAACGTGGTTTTATACCCTAGGCGTATTTTAACCTAATTATAGCCCGTATGCATGTAGCCTTTTTTTGGGTGTACTGGTTGCCCATTGGTGTATGTGGAGGTCATATGATCGTTTTCCAATCCTACTGTTAAATGCCCCACCTGTGGCTCCCTAGCTGCGGGAAAACAACGTGGTTTATACCCTAGGCGTATTTTAAACCTAATTATAGCCGTATGCATGTAACCTTTTTTTGTCGGTGTACTGGCTGCCCATTGGTGTATGTGGAGGTCATATGATCGTTTTCCAATCCTACTGTTATCGGTCAGCCCCAATCATCACAATACATTGAAATCTTTTGTTCGGAAGCAGTAAGTAAAACCAAAAGTGGACCCTTATTTTATCGTGTGTAAAAGTGGAATCTGCAGTGTAACACTGTTTGAAGGCAGATTGTCAAATTTGACAGGAAAGCTGCATTTTAAGTGCAACATTATGCGGTCCATTATCACCATTGACTTGACTCATTCCCCATCCTCTTACTATAGAGTGCTCCCATTGCTTTCCTATCACCGTAGCGGGCCATCAGGATATTTATTGCCCATTTGCCTAAATGAACATGGGATTGGGGCTATTAATACGTACAGCCCAGTTCTAACTTTATATTGAAAAATTGCTGCTTTCTACCAATCTCAGCATTTTGTTTGCGAGCGTACTACAAGGAGATGCTGCCTATTTGTGTTTAGTTTGAAAACATCCCCTTTTCAATTGAATTAATGGCTGCAGTAATTCCTCCTAACTCTGCCGGCCTGGGTGAGTGGTCGTTTAAAGGTTTAATGTATTTATGATAATGACTGGAAGAAGAAGGCAGACTCCACTCAGATCAGCATACAGCCAGATGGGTCTCAGCTTATATTGTACACAGTTGCCTGTTGTACTGTACATCGTAAAAGCTTATCACCATTCCAGTATTGACTGCGGAAGTGGAAGACCGGTACCGGCTCTGCGGTCTGGCAGAATCACTTTTCTAGAAAAACCTTCATAGGTGATCATGAAGCTAGATTTGTTTTTCATTTATTCATCACTGCAAGTATACAGTATGTGTATTTCATTTCGCCATAACATTCATTTGAGTTGTTAAAGTATATGTGAACCCTTACCTCTTAAAATAACCCATTCAGTTTGAAATAGAAATAAAAGATAAAACATTTGTTTATAGATATAAATAAAACAATATAATTACCCTTTTTTTTTTTTTATAAGCAATCACATAATCTCTGTTCACATCTGTATAAAGGACTTGGAGAGCTAGGGTGGAGAAACAGCAGGACACTGATCTTCCCAGTTAATGGCTATGCAGTGCAGGGGGAGGGTGTCAGCACAAGCCTGATCTTTGGAGGCCAGGCAGACTGTTCTCCCAGCACAGACAGAAATCTGACCATACTGGGAAAGATGCAAAACTGACCATACTGGGAAAGATGCGCCTTCATGCCTAACATGGTCAGATTGAAATAGGAAAGCGGGGGGACTGGCAGGCTCTTCAGGCATTTCACACAAAGGAAGAAATACAAAGAGAAAAGGATATTTCTTAACACAAATGCATGTTACACCAGGCACGTGTCAGGAATATGAAATGTTGAGGTAACATATTCTTTAACATTTCTGCCACTGCATACATTTCTCTATTTAAAGGTGAACATTTTATTTAATGCTTTTTTACCCTTAAAGGAGAAGTATAACCAAAGATTTTTAACAATACTTCTATGGGTTCACAGCAGTGCAATTCATTCTGCACTCCTGTGACCTGTTTTCAGAAAAGAAAACTGACCACACTGGGATGGATGAGCTTCCATGCCTGGTGTGGTCAGTTTAAAATAGAAAAGCAGGAGAACTGGCAAGGGCATCAGGTATTTCACACCAAGTAAGCAATGCAGAGATCAGGATACTTTTTACAACATGTACAGGTACAATAAAATCTGTATCAGGAATATGAAATGTTAGGGTAACATACACTTTAACATTCGTTTCATAAGACCAGTGGTCGCTATGAACTCTTTCCACCTGGCAACTGGTCTTGTAACTTCTCTGCTGTAGTTCTCTTTGCAGTGATCAGTGACACAATCACATCCCTGCTTGCTGTAGTTGGTGGACCCTTGAATCTTAGACCCCCAGTCTGAACTGCCTAATGTAGCTACATCATTTGATTGACATTACCCGCCTGCCCAAGCCTGGCTATTCACAACTACAATTTCAGTTACATGATGAGCGGATGTAACATATCCACTTCCATGCTACCTTCTCTGAGTGCCTGGCCATATTGGCATTTATTCAGTGCTAGCAATGGTGTCACAGATTTTTCTAAGGTAAATGTTATCAAAACAGGGCAGTTTTACTACAAATCATTAAAGACTTTTAAAAAGTTTATAATGTACATATCTGATGGCTCATATATAGCAAGTTTCACTTATCCCAGAGTTCAACTTTAAAGTGTTACTAAACCAATAACAGTAAAATCAGTCTGTATCTGCAGTAAAGTATGCTTGTTATACTTAATGTGGAAATTAAGGGGTTATTCCTCTGCATTGTGTAAAAAAGAATGTTTGATTCTGTCTTCTCTGATGCTCCCCTTCTTTCATGGTCCCCATTTCATCTCCTGATAGAACAGAACTTTGGGGGCAAGCTGCACATGCTCAGTTTAGTGTGTATTGCTAGAGAGTTTTTTTTTTTCTTGGGAGGGTGCATATGATCAGCACAGGGCCGATCAGCACTATCCAGAGGGTCAGGGGTTATGCAGCCTCATAGGACAGTGAGAGGAGAATGAAAACTCCTCCTACAAGCTTTAACCCGTGCTCTGCTAGACACTGATAGAAGTCACAAAACTGCTTTAACTGCTGATGAGAAAAGGTGTTTAACAGTTTATATTTACTAAAATAATTGCATTTCCATGTTCTGTGTACTGTGAGACCAGATATAGTGAATGCAGGGTCCTGGGTTTAGTAATACTTTAATTAAAAGTGCCATTTCTGTCTGCAGCTTCTGCTATCAGCATGAATCACTTCTGACAAGTTTTACAAGTTGGGTACTTTGGGAGACCAGATATAGTGAATGCAGGGTCCTGGGTTTGGTAACACTTTACATAGAAACATATAGAGGCACCCTTTCATTCCAATATTATTTCATATGTGTAAAATACGTTTTCAATCCAGCTAGAGTAATTACTTGTAGTTTATCTTTGTATTTAGCTTTGTATATTAGATGAACATAACCAGTATGATATTCACTAGTCATTTTAAAGGTATCTATTGAAACTAGATAGAGGCTGAGCCTTCACAATTCCTTACTGTGAATTATTATTGTACAGTATAAACATAATAACAATATGTACATATTTGGAAAATGTACATTTTTATACCTAGGGATCAAGAAATGTTCAGGCATTGGCTCGTCTCAAGGAAAAGCAATAGTGATTATCAAGGAGTGTTGATTCTTCCCCAAAGCAGGGTCAGTCATGAGATGTTGGAGAGGGCTCACGGACATCCTTCTCCAGTTTCACTGTAAACATCTGATTTCTAGACACTTTAAACCTATGGTGTCCATTATGCATTCATTTGGCACCTACAGCATGGCCCTTGGGCCCCAGCAGCCACTAGTGGGATCATTCTGGTAGTCTAATAAAACATATCCACAGTCTCTAACATGTTGCATATCTCCAGCCTTCATCTACCCCAACAGCATGTCACTAGTCTCTAATCAAATCTAGCACTTTGTCGGCAGTTTCTGTCAATCCTCTGTAGCACTACTTTTACACCCCCCCCCCCCCCCCCCACAAACCCCAATCGATTTCAGCTGCCACAGACCCCCATGTCTAAGTAAGTTAGCCACCACTGCCTAGTAAATCTTTGCTTTACCTGTGCAAGTGTCACTCTGCCTGGCATATGTTAGACATACGTTAATTAATAAAGGCATCTAACAAAGCTATCAGAGTTTCCTTATCCTGTATAGTACTACCCTTAATTTTCTTCATTTAATTTCTGAACCTGAAACAGAAATGTGGAAGCAGTTGATGATCACTTGTATAGGTGAGGGGTTGCCAGCCATTTACAATTTTGTTTCCTTGGTACTACTGCTGGTGGATGCGCACGTTGTCAGTTTATGGTGATTTTTCTTTTAATTCTTGATTTAATAAGGTCAGGACTAAAAAAGAAAAAAAAAGATTTCTCTTTTTTCTGGGTTAGTATGAAAAATTGCATATTGATATTAGGTAGTATTTCCCATTACCGGCAGATGTAGCACTAGTCTTGTTTTCACATGTAAAGTATTGTATCCCTCACAGCTGTGCTTAATTTACATCACAAAAAAATTCCCCTAGCCTCCCTCCATATCACTCTGAATACACAGAGCTGTGGTCCTGGAATTGAGTAAATTTATTGCCTCCATAAACTAAGCATTAGCAGTCAGCATCACTTGATACTGAAGGGTAAATAAGGTATTTGGCCACCAATGCCAGCAGATTAACAAGGGAGAGTCTTGACTGCTCATGTAATTTCCATCTTCACTTTCTGTTCAGGCTCTTCATTGGTGGACTGTACAATCACAGTGGACATCTGCCCATCGTAGACATTCTGGTTTTATGTTTGTAATACAAGTGATGTAACTGTGGCTCAAATGGGTGGATTCTTTATGAATGGGTAACATAATTTACATGTGCATGTTATAGCCTTACCAAAAAAAGCCACAAATGTAAAATGTACGCACAGCATTTTATCCATAAAAATATCAATGTTTCCCTTTTAAACCTTGTTGAACTATGAATTGAATTATACATTGGAGGTTGACGTGTCCCCTATGTAATTGTAGACCATAACAGGAATTGGTATAATCCTGACATATAACAAAACATTTTCACAACTGTTGTAAATGCAAACATGTATTTTGTCTGGGGTGACTTAGATGAACAAAAAATGTATTTATCATTTGGGGGAATGGCTCTGCAAACATTTAGTCGTGGATCCAACCGTTCATTAAAGTTGTTCCTTGTAGTTTCCAATCTAAAGATATACTATATAAAGCATGTCCTGTTTTATGTTTGTAACATCTACCAAGTGAGATAGGAATCATGATAGCATCTTATTTTGACTTGTTTTTACCACATGATGGCTGTTTATGTTAAGGTTTGTTATTTCAGCCTGTATCAGAATTGGGAATTATTTTACATGGCATAGGGGAATTGATATAATGGTTTAAGTAATTGGATGTATTTAGAAAATGGAGTTGTGCTCCAAACATCCGTCCTTTTGACTGTCAGTAAAACAGCCTGTTTTATCTAATGTTGTATAATTAGTGTTGAGCACATATGCTTCGTGAATTTGAATTCACTGTCTCCTGGGGTCAACAACAGTCTGGAGATTAAAAACAAGGGCACATACTCTGGCTGATACATACATACACACACACACATATATATATATATATATATATATATATATATATATATGTGTGTGTATGTAATAGAAAAAGTCTACACACCCCTGTGAAAATGTCAGGTTTCTGTGATGTAAAAGAATAAGACAAAAATAAATAATTTCAGGACCTTTTCCCCCTTTAATGTAACCTATAAACTGTACAGCCCAGTTGAACAACAAACTGAAATCTTTTAGGTGGAGGGAAGTAAAAATAAAAAAACTAAAATAATATGGTTGCATAAATGTGCACACCCTTAAACTAATACTTTGTCGAAGCACCTTTTGATTTGATTCCAGCACTCAGTCTTTTTGGGCACGAGTCTATCAGCGTTGCACATCTTGACCTGGCAATATTTGGCCACTCTTCCTTGCAAAAATACTGCAAATCTGTCAGATTGCGAGGGCATCTCCTGTGCACAGCCCTCTTCAGATCATCCACAGATTTTCCTGTATAATAATGTATGCTTTGGGTCGTTGTCATGATGAAAGATGAAGTTCCTCTTCATGATCAGCTTTCTAGCAGAAGTCTGAAGGTTTTGTGCCAATATTGACTTGTATTTGGAACTGTTCATAATTACTCTACCTTGACTAAGGCCCCAGTTCCAGCTGAAGAAATACAGCCCCAAAGCATGATGCTGCCACCACCATGCTTCACTGTGGGTATGGTGTTCTTTTGGTGATGTGCACTGTTGTTTTTGCACCAAACATATCTTTTGGAATTATGGCAAAAAAGTTCAACCTTGGTTTCATCAGACCATAACACATTTTCCCACATGCTTTTAGGAGGCTTTAGATGTGTTTTTGCAAAATTTAGCTGGGCTTGGGAGATTGTTGTCACATGTACCACACAGCCAGTACTTGCTAGATATTCCTGAAGCTCCTCTAATGTGGCTGTAGGCCTCTTGGCAGCCTCCCAGACCAGTTTTTCTTCTCATCTTTTCATCCGTTTTGGAGGGACATCCAATTCTTGGTAATGTCACTGTTGCGCCATATTTTCTCCACTTGATTACTGTCTTCACTGTGTCTCATGGTATATATAATGCCTTGGAAATTCTTTTGTACCCTTCTCCTGACTGATACCTTTTAACAATGAGGTCCCTCTGATGCTTTGAAAGCTCTCTGCGGACAATGACTTTTGCTGTAGGATGCGACTAAGAAAACGTCAGGAAAGACCTGCTAGAACAGCTGAACTATATTGGGGTTAATCAGAGGCACTTTAAATAATGGCAGGTGTGTACTGACTCCTATTTAACATGAATGTGATTGCTTAATTCTGAACACAGCTACATCTCCAGTTATAAGAGGGTGTTGCACAATTATGCGACCACATTATTTTAGTTTTTTATGTTTACTTCCACCTCTAAAAGATTTCAGTTTGTTTTTCAATTGAATTGTACAGTTTTGTAGGTTGCATTAAAGGTGGAAAAAGTTCTGAAATGATTTCTCTTTGTCTCATTTTTTTACATCACAGAAACCTGACATTTTAACAGGACTGTGCAGACTTTTTATGTCCACAGTATATATATTATATATGGGTGGGCGTGTGTCTTTAGAAGGTCATGCAGCTATTGTCTGGCAGAAAGTACCTCGGTGAAATCTAAATCGCAAGAAATATGTAGTGGAGATAGACTATATGTAAAATATGCGTGTGTTTCATAGCTTTGGTTTGATTTTTTATAGGTTATATGTTCCATGTCATTTGTTCTCTTTAAATACTTTACTTGAAAAAAAAAAGCTACTATATAAAAATCAAGTGTCAAAAGTATCGAACAAAGGGCAATAGTCACATAGCTTAGACATTAAGGGCTCGTTCACACCATGGTGCAGAGATGTCAGTTTTTCTGTATGTGTTCTGCAAGGGCACAACAAAATCAGTTGTTCTCTATGTGCCCTGCTCACATCACAGCACTAGTATCACGTGCAGATTTTTTCTGCAATGTACATAAAACTCATTGGAGCGTGCATAAAAACTGATGTAAACTGATGTCTCTGCAACTGAAATCTGCACGTTAGTTTTCATCAGTTTTTCTGCAAGTATGGAATGAGCGAGACCTAAAAGTTAACAGCACTAAGATGCCAATAGACTAATAGTACTCCCTATCGGGAAGCACCTGTCTAGTAAACCTTCATCTTATTATTTTTTTTTTTCTATTAATATTATGCAGGATTTATAAAGCGCCAACAGTTTGCACAGCATTTTATAAAATGAAGGTAGACATAACAGTTACAATACAATTTGGTATTAAAGGAAACAGAGGGCCCTGCTCGTTAGAG